AGACAAAAAGCCCAAGTTCAAATGCTGGTTCTCCTCTCACTCCCTAGTGACCTTCAGTCAAGTCTCTATCTTCTGTGAACATCAGGGTCCTGCAAACAAGGACAATTATAGGGCCTACACAGAGGCGGTATGGCAAGAGTGGACTGAGTTGTGCACAGTGACCTTCCTGCCCTTACTTCTCCCTGTGGAGAGGACAGGAGAACCCTGGTAGCCAGTGGGGTGGGAGCTACAGGACTGGATGGTGGGGAGGAAGCAGACACTGACCTCGGATGTCCCTGGGCAGGAGGGGTGGCCTGCTTGGGCCTGTGCTGCTCTGCCACATGGCGCTGGGGAAGGTGAAGCTGACTTCAGGCACGTGGAGTGTGTTCTCATCTGAACAAAGACAGGACGATATCATTATTAGCACTACCCAGTGATTCCTGGAAACCAAACTGAAGAATGGACAACACATACCAAGAACTCACCCCATGTCAGGCTCTGTGCCTAACCCCTCCTTGGGACTCCCCCAGGGTTTGTTTTTCTATGTGAACTCCTGCACTCTGTCCTTCAAGAAGTCTCCCCAGCCCAGCTTTTTGTTCTTGTCTCTTCCCATCAGCAACTGTGTTTCCTTCTCCATCCCCTCTTGCTCTTGGCTGGTGGTTACATGGCAACGAAGAGGACTCGATGGGTTTATTGCACATACTCAAATAGAAAAGGAAGCCAGGGGGTGGGCTGTGGGGAGAGAAGGGCATCTCTCCCTTCCATCCAGTTGGGTTCCCACTTCCTCAGGTCTCTGCCCAACATCACCCTACAGAGAAGCCCCCTGAGTGTCCAAGCCCAAGTTGAGTTGTTCTACACTCTTCCTCCTTGTCTCACTCAGCTCTCGAAACTCATTGGGCCAAGGTGCTATCTGGGAGCCCAGCCTTCTGCAAACACTGTACATCTGTGATCTTCCAGSTCCCCAGGGGACCTGTGTGCAGTGAAGAGCTGTCTGGCCCCTGCCAAGAAGGGATACCTGGTCTGCCCCACCTCCTGCCAGCCCTTTCTGTACACCTGAAAACACAAGTACATTCTTTCTTGAAGCATGGCAGCCAGGTGGAGAGAGCGGCACTGGGCACCAATCTTAACCATGCCATCAATACCTGATGTGACCCTAGAGATGTCACTTCTACTCTCCGGGCCTCAGTTTACCCACCTGAACCAGCTGGGCTACAGATCTTGAAGGACCATCCAGCTCTAATATGCGTTAACTTTTTGATCACAGAACCCTATCAGCTGTAGAGCTGAGAACCCTGGCCCCACAGAGACTGTGTTGGCACCACTGAGCAGGACATCGAGCCACTTCCTGGGGAGGACAGCAGGAATTCGGCCTGATCCTGGAGAAGCAGCCCCTTCCTGCCCACTCAGAGGGCCAGTGCAGACTACTCTTGCTTATCTGCAAAGCTGGTCTTCTTTTGTACGCAGATAGCATGAGATGATCTTAGGGAACTGCTCTTTGTTCTTCTATCTACCACACGGAAAGCTCTATTGTCAGGGAGCTCTTGAAATGAAATAAAATGGCACGATCTTGGGTTTTCTTGAGACATCCCCAGGAAATCAAACAACAAACAAACAAAAGTATATAGAGAGAAGAAACAAGTTGGGTGGTGGGTACATGGAGATTGTTGTAATTATTCTCTCAGCTTCTGTCTATGTTTAGAAATTTCACAATAGACTGTTGGGGAAAGAAAGTGTAATTTTTGATCACATACAAACACATCCCCACAGGCTCATTTCTAGAGGAGATATGAATACCCACTCACCTCCTGTGGGCAGAGTAGGGGACTCTTCTGGGTCAGCAGTGCTAGGGGGCATGTCTATGTGGTACTTACTGTGCTGCACCAGGCTGAGCCGTTACACATAATTGCACAGGCATTTCTAAGTCCCTGATCCAGAAAGGGGCTATCATGGACACCCCCTGGCGTGACTGGAGCCTCGCACTGTGTACTGCCTGTCAGCTGGGAGTGTTGGGGAAGGCCAGCCCCATCCCTGACTCCCAGCTCCCACTCTAGGCCACTCTGTGTTCTCTGTGACTTTTCATTGTTTTAAGAGCACATAATGGGAAGGGGGCTACTCCTGAAAACAGAAAATCCCATAAAGAACATTTTGTTTTTAAAAGTGTTTCAAGTTTTGGGGGAAAAAATGGTACTACAAGCTGGGCATGGTGGCTCATGCCTGTAATCCCAGAGGCTCAGGAGGCAGAGGCAGGAGGATCTCAAGTTCAAGCCAACCTCAGCAACTTAATGAAACCCTAAGCAACTTGGCAAGACCTTGTCTCAAAATAAAAAATAAAAAGGTGAACTTGGTTCCTAAGTTGCATCCACGAGCCCAGGTATGAAAAATATGTTAAGAAACATGAAAAACAGATATCTAAACTCATCAGGGAAACAATTCTGTATAAATTCAGTCTGCTTTCTTTGGTGGTTTGGTTATGGATTTAACAATCTGCATTTTGCTTGAATTGGGGGTCTGACATAGACATACAGATACATGATGGGAGAGTTTGGGCTCATAGAAGGTGAGAATGAAGAGGACTTGGCTTCTCCCGGTCCTATTCTTCACTATGCATAGCTTACATAATGGAAACAGGAAAGCATCCTCTGAATATGCTCATTCTGCTCCCGCTCATGCCCAAAGTCACATGAGCATGTGACATGGTGGTTTCTATTAAAATCTTTGACTCACCTAAAGCTGGGGAAAAAAATAGCYTGATAGTTTTTTCCCCACAATTTGGTATCAGTTTTATATATAATTCATTACCTGTTTTTTTAAATATTTTTTTTTTTTAGGTATAGATGGACACAACACAATGCCTTTATTTTTATGTGGTGCTGAGGATTGAACCTGGGTCCTGCCTCTGCTAGATGAGTGCTCTACTGCTAAGCCACAATCCCAGCCCTCATTACCTGTTTTTTACAGAAACAATTAGTTGTATATAAAAATGTGTAGAGGAAGAATACAAGTTCAGTGTATTAGATAAAGGGGAATGACTGGAAGGAAGAGGGATAGGAGTAGGAGAAACAGAGGAACAAATTGGACATAACTTTCTTATGTACCTATATGAATACACCACAGTGAATCTCACCATTATGTACATCCCTAAGAACTGGAATCCTAATTAGAATATCGATACATTTCATGCTTGTATAAACATATCAAAATAGATTCTACTGTGATACATGACTAAAAAGAATTTAAAAATCCCAAAGATATGTATATTCTAATATCAACTATATATACTTTTTCCATGGATTAAGTTCATTGTGTCACTTAAAATATTTTCTTTCCATCCTCTTTTATTTTTTAAAAAATTTTAATATTTATTTTTTAGCTTTCGGCGGACACAACATCTTTGTTTGTATGTGATGCTGAGGATCAAACCTGGGCTGCACGCATGCCAGGCGAGCCTGCTACCGCTTGAGCCACATCCCCAGCCCCTTTCCATCCTCTTCTAAAATAAATACTAAAAATATTTTTAAAAGGGAGGAACTGATGGTGTGGCTCATAGTTAAGTGCCTTTGAATTTAATCCCTGATACCAAAAAAAAAAAAAAAAAATACACACACACACACACACACACACACACACACGCGCACACTGCTGATGACTTCATTCTGTCAATTTTGTCATCAGGATCAAACACTTCTGAAGTGCCAAGCTGCATGTCTGTGGCAAGGTGGACAGTAAACCTGGCAATGTCTGTTTCCATGGTCCTTGAAATACCATCCATAACCCCCCAAATGTGCACACCCTCTGATCCAGAGACCACACCTTTATAAAGTAAAAACAAAAGGACATGGAACTGTGGTCATGAACTAGGAATCTGGAGCCAGTTCACCTGGTTTCAAGTCCCAACTCTGCCACTCCCAGCTGTGTGGACTTGAGCAAACTCCTCAACATCTCTGTGCCTCAGTTTACTCATCATATAACATGGAGGGGGCCATTCCTTACCTCACAGGACTATTATGAGGATAAAGATGCACCCTGCAGGGTTCATAGCATAGTGCCTGGTGCAGTGTGTGCTCAGTAAATGGGCACCATCATGTAACCCCTGGGTCAGCTGGTGCTCCCAGCCCCTTGGTGAGGAGGAGCTTGCTCTGCTTCCTTACAATCTTCTGTGGGTTGACACTTTGAACCACATCCTCAACCCTTCTTATTTTTTATTTTGAGACAGTCTCTTCTGTCTCAAACTTGCCATCTTCCTGCCTCAGGCATGCACCGCTGCCCCCAGCAAAATGTAGCATTTTTTAAAATACAGAACTAGCTGGGCACAGTAGGGCACACTTATGGTTCCAGTGACTTGGGAAGCTGAGGTAGGAGGATCACAAGTTCAAGACCAGTCTCCAACCTTAGCAAGATCCTGAATCAAAAATCAAAAAGGGCTGGGGATACACCTCATGGTAGAGCCCCCTTGGGTTCAATCTCTAATGCTGCAAAAATAAATCAGTAAACAAAAATATAGAACTAGGCCATTGGTCATGGGTCATGGTACCCCCAAACTTGTACTGTATTCTCAAATACTTGGTCTTGACCTCTGCTGCAGGTCACTGACTTCCTGTAAGGGAGGGGCTATTCACATCAATGGCAGAGACAGGATACTATTCTTGGTGACTACTTCTGGGTGGTAGGGTTCATAAATGGTTCTTCTCATGTATAATTTTKATCTACGTAGCAAAATAAAGTTACTGTTTTTATCATAACACCCAAAGAGCCACCCTCTGGCCTCACTAACTGGCCTTTAGGACAGGAGCACAGGCGCATAGAGTTGGGGACTACACCCAATCTCAATCGCCATCAGGAGAGTCGGCAGGCTCAAGGCGAGCCCACGGCCCCATCTTCAGGAAGCCGGTGGCCCCAGCTCACTGGGACAGCTGATCCCAGGGCAGCCTATCGTACTTTCTAAGGTGCTCATATGGAAGGAGGGACAGTGTCATAGGATACAGAAAAAACTGACATGCTGTTTTCTGCCTTGGATGCCGTACCTGTGTGGAAACTGAGGCTGGGTTTTATCTTGGAGGCCACGGGGACAGCAGGGAGAAAGCTCTTTCCTGGCGACTTTGACTGCTGAAGGTGCGCTGGGGGCAGCTGGCTGTCCACCAGGTGCTCCACAGAGTGGGGCTGAAGTTTCTCCTGCAGGAAAGGTCACACAACAGGTGTGGTGTGGAGTGAGGAATGGGTGCTGAAGGGACAGCATGGCTAGGGGAGCACTGATTAAACAGCTACCAGGTGACAGACTGTTGTGAGCCTCTAGGTACAAAATGTGCAGAATTCCTACTAATCTCCTCAGTCCCCACTGAATGAATAAATGACCCTTTTCTAACAGTGAGTCCCCCTTTTCCCTTATAAAGTCCTCTAGCAGTGGGAATTTTCGTCTAAACCCAGGGCAGTGGTCAGTTATGTGCGTCAACCTGTCTGGGCCATGGAGTGCTCAGATACTTGGCTAAACATTATTCTGGGGGTGTCTGGAAGAGTGCTTCTGGGTGAGTGTAACATCTGGATGAGAAAAGCAGATGGCCCTCCTAATGTGGTGGGCCACCTCTGATCACGTGAAGACCTCAGCAGAACACAAGGCAGGCCCTTCTCCAAATAAGAGATAGTTCCTCCAGCTGGGCCACTGACTTTTTCCCACCCTTAGCCTTGTATTGAGACTGACTCTCTGGGGCCTCCAGCTGCTGACTCAGCCTACATATTTGGGGACTTTCCAGCCTCCATGATCACCTGAGCCAGTTCCTGGTAATAAGTCTCAACCTCTCTCTCAAATGGAACATGGACACATGTGGTTCAAGATCACATATGAGCTTGAAACTGGTGAGGGACAGGTGAGGAACTGGGGCCTCCCGTGTCCGCCATGACTCAGTGTCCCTGACCTGCCCTCCTGTCTTCCTCCAGTGCCCTAGCACCTACCGAATGCACGCTCCAGGTAAGCGAGGGTGAGCGTTTCCTCCTGGACTTCCTGTCCATGGAATGGTCCCTGCGTGGGCTGGCATGGGGCCAGCTCCTATCTGCCAGGGTGGGGTCAGGGGTGGTGCTGGGCTTGAGGTCTCTGGAATCCAGGGTTGCCTCCTCTAGGAGGTGGCGGGAGGAGCGCCTGCTGTTGCCCTCCCAATCCTGTGCTTTGGAACGTCGGCTGGCTGCAATGAGGGCAATGTTTTTGGTGCCCAGGGCCATCTCCTTGAGCACCTGGGTGGTCAGGGCTAGGCTGCCAGCCTCCCTTGCTGGCCACAGGGTGCCCAGCTCCAACCCAGCTGGGGGGTACACCTTGGACAGCAGGCTCTTCATATTCAGGGAGCTCGGCTTCTGTAGGAAGGCAATACCCACAGAGTGGTCAGAGGCCCTAGATGGGACTGTTGTCCCCAAGTGTCACTACTATCCCAGAGCAGACCTGGAGACAATGACTCCAGGTAGGTAGTTTATAAGGGGGAAAGATACTGGGGAGTAACATGGTTAAGGAGGGTGTGTGACCAGACAGTGCCACTCTGGTGATTGTGCTGAATGTGTGGGACATCCCGGAGTAAGACTGGCACTCAGGTGTGGGGTCCTGCCACCACAGTGAGGGGCTCCCAGGGTCACTGACCAAGAGTTCCCCAGGCAGGAGTTCCCCAGCATTTCTGCACTGCAGAGCAGCCCTGCAGCGCCCCGTGGTGTCAGGGGATGGGGCGTCCTCACCATAGCGGGCAGCAGTGGGATGTGTCGGAGCCTGCTCATTCATTCTGTTCGTAGTCATAACGAACACTAATAGCTTTTACATAATTGCTCATGGGAAAAGACCAAAATCACTGACTTGCAGGGATTCTCCTTCACCAAGCCCACCTCCTGCAAGAGTCTTATATTTGCCATTCTGTCTCTTACTGTCCGCCCCTCCCCAACCCCTAGAGAAAGAGGAGACTTGTTGCTTTCTGGGAGCAAAGTTAGGCTGGTCTACACAATAAAGAGAAGCAGAGAAAATGGGAGAGAAGAAAGAAAATTCAAGCCATATAGAGAGAGGCTCAAAAATAGGAATCAGAGGGCAGTGAGAACGAGGAGGCACCAAGTATGTCAGGGCAAGGGGTGGGCGAGGAGTGGGCCCGGTCAGCCTTCCTCATGAGACACACAGGGAAAGGAGAGGCACTGCTCCCTGAGTTGTTAGACTGCTTTTTCTTGAACTTAGCACCACAATAAGACCCTTACGTTCACCATTTTATAGGTGAAGAAACAGCACAGAGTCGTACAGTAACTTGTCTGAGGTCACAAAGCTAGCAAAGGATACAGTGCAATTTGAGCCCAGATCTGGCTGGTTCCTGAGCCCCAAAGTGCCCACACGCCAGGAAAGCTAAAAAGCAAGTTGGGAGGACACAGGAGCACGTTGATGCTTTTAACTCCTTCATTCTTGTAATCCTTTCAAGCACCCCAGGGGGTAGGTGTGATCACCCCAACCTACTATGAGCAAAGGAAGATCCTGCAGAGCCACCACAGCCAGCCACAGGGGGACAGAGCCAGTTACTTCCAGTACCTGTGTCTCATTTTCTTACTTTGTAAGCTGAGGAGAAAGATGGCCTCATCGCCAAGTGGGAGCAGCCAGCACTAGGGTGACAGGATGCCCCCAGTTCACATCTGCTCAGGACCTGGGGGGACCTTATGCAGAACTAGGATCTCTGCGGGTGTTCTTAGTTAAGGCTCTCTAGAGGAGGGCATCCTGGATTCAGGATGGGCTGTAATCCAGGGACTGCAGTCCTTACAGGAAGGGAAAGGCAGAGCCACAGGAAGACGTTGGGGAGATGGGGCTATGTGGCTGCAGCCAGGAACCGCCAGGAGCCACCAGGCAGGAAGGCTCCTCCTCCGGGGCCTGGGCGGGAGCATGGCCTACCAGACACTTACCTTGGACTCTCAGCCTTCAGAGGATGTAGCCCTGTGTTTGATGCTGGACCTGAAGCAGCCTCAGGACACTGTCACAGGCTAACCTCTAGTGTTGTGCAGGCTACCATCCTGATGGTTGCAGGAGGATGGATGGCCCTCCCTCTGGATGCCCCACCCATTCGCCCCTGGCCCTGTGCAGCTCTGGTTGAGGGTGTGAGGGTCTGCTGGGGAGTGGGGAGCCTCTGCACAGTCCAGGCCCCGCTGAGCACCGCACACCAACCTCGTGGATGGGAGGAGTCAGCAGCACTCGGARGGACGGCGGAGGGAGGAGACAGTCTTGCTTTCCTGGCTTTTTCAATGGTGTGGCTTTTGATGACTTGTTACCATCACTGTGGATGAAGTGGAGGCACAAGTAGGACCATTGTGCCCTCTGATACATCCAGGGACCAGCCTGAGCCTGAGCCTTGGCTTCTTCTCTGGCCGCAAGGCTGTGGCCCACACATGGGGACAGAGTGGTGGTGTCATGCACCAGGGCACAGCGGTGGCTGTGGCCAGGCTTCTCTGGTAGAGGCCAAGCTGAGCTCATTCACCTGACATTATACACTGGTCACCTACTGTAGCCATGCCTATCCCTAGGACCAGGCGCGCACCGTCCTTGGCAGACTAGGCCCTGTCCCACACTCTGTCCAAGGACACACCACCCAATGGGCAAGCGGTTAGGACAATAAAAGAGTGAGCAGGTGAGCAGAAGACCCACCCACCTCAGGACAGGTGAGGCACAGTGAAGATATCTGCCTGCTGGGCCCCTCCTGATCCTGCACAGACCTTCATAGACCACTCCCTTGTCGTTAGTGACAGGGAGGTCTTGGTCACTCTGATAAGCTGGCTCCTGGTAGGCCTGGCTACCAAACTTGTAGCCAGAAAGTTTGGGACTTTGGGCCAGTGGACTTCCAGTGAGGGAGAAGGTTAGAGATTGATTTTATTCACTTAGCCAAGGAGATATCGACCACACCCACAAATGAACCCCGGGGCTCTGAGGTTCCTGGTGGCTTCCTGGTGTGAAAGGTGAGGTTCAGGGCTGGCAGGGCCTGACTTCCAACACAGCTGGCATTCCAGCTGCACACTCACTCCTGTGCACATTGGACACTTAACTGTGCTCCTATGCACAGCTCAGAGGAAGCTCAGCCCAGACTCACCCCAGTCCTGGCTGCTCCCAGGTCTGGCTCTGGGGAAGGGAGGGGAAGCCCCTCCTCTCACTCACCAGATCTAGAGGAGCACTGCCTCTGAGCTGTTCTCAGAGCTTATTCAATGGGCCAAGGACCAAGTTCATGCCAGGTGTGGGCTAAGCTCAGGAAGACAGCAGGACACAGGGGAGTAGAGAGGTGTGTAGCTTGGACTGGGGCCCAGGGCACTGTGTTTGCATACACATACATACACATGTGCACACGAACCCAATGCACCTTCATGACACAGATACAGGCACATGTGTGCACACGTGACACACATTGGGGATAAAAAAAATGAYACTTTATGCTGGACCTGAGACTGCTTCAGGTCCAGCATCAAACACAGGGCCTTCCCGTCTTCTGCCACCATTCTTCCCTCAAGGCAAGCCATAGAGACCAGAATTATTCTTCTCCAAGATGGGTCCCCAAAGCAGCCATGAAACATAAGAATGCTACTCTAACTCCCCTAGCCCCACCAACACTCCCGCAATAAAGAAATTCTTCTGACCTGCCTGGCTTAACGGCAGATCATCAGGCCCTTATTACAGAAGGAATGCTGCAGAGTGGCCCGAAGAGCCTGCACAGACAGGCCTGGCTGGGCCACCCCTAAGTTCACTACCATCAACTCACACACTTCTTTTCCAAAAAAACTTCCAATTTTATGCTCAGACCTGAGCATAAAAATGGGGAGTTCACCCTGGGTCTTTGGGTCTTCATTCTGAAGCCTCTTGTATTACATAAGACGATGATCAAGTAAATTTGTTATGCTGGCTGGGCACAGTGGAACACACCTATAATCCCAGTGACRTGGGAGGCTTAGGCAGGAGAATTGTAAGTTCAAGGCTAGTCTGGGTGACTTAAAATTCTGAAAGGGATGGGGAGGGGATTAAATTATGCTGTGTGCTTGTACAAGTAAGTAAAAATGAATCCCATTATTATATATAATTATAATGTATCAATAAAAATTACCATTAAAAAATAAAAAATAAGGGGCTGGGGTTGTGGCTCAGTGGCAGAGTGCTTGCCTTGCATGTGTGAGGCACTGGGTTTGATCCTTAGCAACACATAAAAAATGAATAAATAAAGATATTGTGTCCATCTACAACTAAAAAAAAAGAATAAAAATTTAACTTAAAAAAAGGACTGAAAAGTATAGCTCAGTGGTAGAGCTCTTGCTTGAGGCTTTAGGTTCAGTCTCCAATACCACTACATAAATAAATAAATAAATAAATTGGTTATGCGTGTCTCCTGTTAACCTGCTTTTGTTATAGAGTGTCAGCCATGATCATCAAGATGGGAAAGAGAGGGATTGTCCTCTTACTGTTCCCCAAAACATGCACACACCACCTACAGACACACATGTGCCCATGTACACAGGCACACTAACATTTGCACACAAACACATGTGTGTGTTCACATGGATGAATGTGTGTGTACACTTGTGTGCATATGAAGCTTGTGAACTCAAACAACTTCATGCACTCACAAATGCACAAACGTGCACATGCAGAGCGCACACTGCCACACCAACATGCTTGCATATGCCCATATACTGAAGGAACCAGGCCACCTCTGCCTGGAGCCCTGGGATTTTCATTGCCCAAAGGTAACAAAGGTAGACCTGGGCTTTCTATTGGAACTTCACAGCCTCCTGGTTTGAATAAACCAGCTGCAGAGGCGTTTGGGGTAAAATTTGGAGAAATCTGACAACAGGCAAGATATGAAATGATGTTCAAAAGCATCACTAATTTTGTTGAGAATAATTATTTACACTGTGGTTTTAGAGGGAACTGTACACTACTGTATCTAGGGGTAAAGTGTCCTGATATTTTTATTTATTTTATTTAAATGTTTAACCTAATAGCTACGCCATTCAGTGGTCACCTCCTAGGGCAATTTGTTATTCTTATAAGGATCTCTCAAGCAACAGAAGTTGGATACTCCAGGAAAGAGGAAGCACTGGCTCTGAAATCAGCCTCAGGCCACCTGCCAAACAAGAGCCTGGGATTCATAGCCTTGGTCTCCACCAGGCTAGATCTCACCTACCTGTCTCTCTCCAGTGGCATTGAGGGCAGCTCAACTTGGGGGCCCCRCGGGAAGTCTTTCCTGTCCTCAGGCTGGTCTCGGCTGGGCTCCTCCGGCATGGGTGAGATATGCAGAATGGAGCCATCCTGGGACCAGACAGTTGCTGAGTGAGGCAGGCGGGGATGTGAGAAAACCATGTTATCAAGCAGAGGGTTTCTGAGGGACATGGGAAGGTCCAGGTCCTCCCTGCCACTGCCATGCAATGGGAGGCCAGTCATCTGCACAAAACCTGCACATGGGTATTTATAGCAACTCTTTTCATAATTGCCAAAATTTAAAAGCAACCAAGATGTCCCTCAGCAGGCAAATGGAAAACAAACTTTGGAACAGCCAGATGATTGATGGATAGTTACTTAACACTTAACACAGTCAGTGGACTCCTTAACTCCTGCCCCCACCAAGGAGATCTCCCATATCAAATCCCCAGGGACCATCCCACCACTTCGACCCTGAGCAACAGTGGTATGCAAGGAGACACCTATGTGAGAAACCCTAAAAGTCTATAGGCCTGCAAAGAGTTAAACACATTTATTATGTGACCTGGAAATTCCAGTTCTGGGTCTATACCAAAAGAATTGAAAGCAGGAACTCAAAAGAGACTTTGCTGCTGTGGCATTCTTGCCAAAATGCATCATCATGAGAATTAGCTCAATCAATCTACTCATGGAAAAACACCAGGCCAACACAGAACAGGGACATTCTGCAAAGTAATGGAGGAACAGTCTTCAAGTGTCAGACCTGGGAGAAGGAGAAAGACCAAGGAGCCATCCCAGACTGAGGGAGATTAGGGAGACATGACTGCTAAAGGAAAAGTGGATCCTGAGTTGGGTTACAGACCAGAAAAGGACATGAGTGTAGAAAAGCATTGCAGAAGATGCTCCTGTCACCCCATCACTTAAGAGACAACAGGGGCTTAGGCCAGGACACAAACAAGAGGAGCTCATGGTCCTTACTAAGGAATGCAAAATTCTATGGCCACTCTGGAGGACAGTTTATCACTTTCTTTTTTTGTTTTTGTAGTACTGAAAGTTAAACCCAGGGCATTCCACTTGCAAAGCAAGTCCTCTGCCACTGAGCTACATCCCCAGCCCAGTTTGTCAGCTTCTTACAGAAGTAAACTTACTCTTGCCACATGGTCCAGCAATCATGCTACTTGGGATTTACCCAAAAGCATTAGAAACTTACATCTGCACAAAACCTGCACATGGATATTTATAGCAACTCTTTCCATAATTGCCAAAATTTAAAAGCAACCAAGATGTCCCTCAGCAGGCAAATGGAAAAACAAACTTTGGAACAGCCAGATGATTGATGGATAGTTACTTAACACTTAAAAAAAAGTGATCAAAGCATGAAAACACATGGAGGAAACATTAAATCCCTGTTACTAAGTAAAAGCAGCCACTCTGAAAAATCTGTTGTATGACTCCAACCATATAGTTTTGGAAAAGGCAAAAAGTCAGAGGCAAACAACCAAAAGATTGGTGGTTGCCAGGATCTGGTGGGGAGGGAAGGATGAGCAAGGGAGCATAGACGATGCTCATGGCAGGGAGACTGCTGGACGACAATACCATGGCAGGCACTTGCCTTCTAAGTGACCAAACCTACAGCATGACACTACAAATGGATTCTACAGTAAACTGTGCCTCTGGTGATAATAATGTGATGGCATGTCCACTGATTGTAGCAATGGACCACTGTGGTGCCATGTGGGGTGTGGGTAACGGAGGTTCGTGTAGGGGTGAGGGAGATGGGAACTCTGTGCTTTCTGTTCCACTTTGTTATGAACCCAAAACTTCTCTAAAAGAGAAAGTTTATTAAAAACAAAAGACAAAAACCAAAGTGAGACAGATGTCTGGAAAGGATGGGGAAGCAGGGCAGAGCAGAGGCTTTTCTCAAACAGAAGCAGATATGCGAGAGGTAACTGAGCCCACAGACCCAGGAGAGCAGCCCAGCACCCTGACTCATCCTGCTCTCCATTGGAAAGCACAGACAGTGTACTGCCAGAGCCTGAGCAGGGGAAGGGGGTGGGGTGGGGAGTGCTTTGGCTGAGCCTTCCTCATGCCATGCATCGCCCACCCCGGCTAAGGTCTAGAAGTTTCTTCTTTCTTTCCTCTGGAGAGTTAAGTCCAGGGTCTATGGTCTGGGGACATCAGGCCTCCTTTATGGTATGCGAAGATCAGGTACAGCAGCATTCATGCTCAATAGCCAATTCAGAGGCTACCTCAAAGCCCTCTCCCCTGCAAGCTCACCAAGCCCATCCTGACAAGACACCCAGAGCAAAGAAAGACCTAACTCTTGAGATCTCGCCACGGGTCCCAGAGGACACTTCTCTAGGTCATCAAGGCAATAAGGCCCTCTGTTCAAGGAAACTCAGGAATCCCTGTTGGGCTTTGCCACTGGCAGAAATGCTGGTAATAGCTAAGGATTAGAGAGGTCCTAGGAGACAGAACAGAGTGGCCTAGTCCTGTGAGTGGACCTCCTCCACTATCTCTGGCCAAGCCATGTCCATYAGAGCCCAGGGAGGGCTGGCCTCATCCTGAAACCTGCCTGAATCCCCAGCCTGTGGCTCGGCCTGTTCTCCACCCTATTGCTCTGGCACTAGGCAGTTGGTCTACGGGTGTTTCCAAATTTTCTCTTCTGTTTCATAGGCCTGGCACAAACAGGCCCCAGTGCCACGGATGGGAGAGGCTGACTATGGCCTGATCCTGGGGCAGGGGTGGTGGGAGATGACTGGCAAGCAGGACTCACCTGGAGGGGCCCAGACATCACTGAGTGCAGCAGCAGCAGGCGGTCCAGTGTGCCCTCGCTCTGCTCCTGGGAGTACAGCCGGTACTGCTTATCCAGAGACTCTGGAACCTGGATACCACTGTCTGAGGGAGCCAGGAAAGCAACACTAGAATGAGGAAGGACAACCCCTAGAACCAGGCAAAATGTCCACTACTTGTTACAAGACAGTATTTTGTACGGGAAATTTGAAGGCAAACACTCCAATCTGATAGAAGAGGCTTTTCTGTTACATTGTCTTTGCTTCTGTCTACTTTAAAAAAAAATTGTTCTTGTCTTTGCAGTGCTGGATATTGAACCCAGGATCTTACATGCGGAGGAAGTGCTCCACCACTGAGCTACACCACCAATCCAAGTTTAAAATTTTTCTATTATGTTCATATATTGCCTTTCAGTCATAAAATATTGTTATTAACAATTCTTAAAAATACTTTTATTTGTAGATGGACAGAGTACCTTTATTTTATGTATTAACTTTTATGTGATGCCGAGACTCGAACCCAGTACCTCACACGTGCTAGGCAAGCGCTCTACCACTGAGCCACAATCGCAGCCCTATTATTAACAATTCTAAAGTACAAATAAAACTTAAGTTAAAAATTAAAGGACCTGGGGCTGGGGATGTGGCTCAGTGGTAGATTGCTTGCCTAGCCTGTGTGAGGCACCAGGTTCGATTCTCAGCACCACATAAAAATGAATAAATAAAAAAAGTATTGTGTCCATCTACAACTAAAAAAAAAAAAAAAAAAAAAAAAGAGTTAAAGGACCAGGGCTTGGAATTTAGTTCAGTTGGTAGAGTGCTTGCTTTGCAAGCACAAGGCCTTGGGTTCAATCCCCAGCACCACAAAAAAGAAAAAAAAAAAAAAAGTTAAAAGACCTCTCTTAGGGATCTACCCAAAAGAATTAAAAACATGTCTCAAAGAAAAACTCAAACACAAATTTTATTCACAATAGCCAAACGACAGACCCAACCCCCTTTCCCATAAACAGATGAATGGTGAACATAATGGTTAATCTACACATGGAATATGACTCAGTCATAAAAAGATTATGATGTTCAGGGTGCAGCAGTGCATGCCTGTGACCCCAGCTATGTAGGAGGCTAAAGCAGGAGGATCTCAAGTTCAAGGCCAGTCTGGGAAATTTTATGAGACCTATCTCACAATTTAAAAGAGAAAATAAAAAGAGCAGGGGGGGCTGGAGTTATGTCTCGGTGGTAGAGCATTTGCCTAGAATGTGTGAGGCACTGGGTTCGATTCTTAGCACTACATTAAGTAAATAAATGAATAAAATAAAAATATTGTGTCCAACTACAACTGAAAAAAAAAAAAGAGCAGGGGGTGTAGCTCAGTGGTAGAATGCCACTGGGTTCAGTCTCCAGTATCATGAAGAAAAACAAAGTTAAAGTAGGAAATTGCCAGGTGTGGTGTTGAACACCTGTAATTCCAGTGACACTGGAGGCTTGGGCAGGAAGATTGCAAGTTAAAGTCAGTCTGGGCTGGGGATGTGGCTCAAGCGGTAGCGCGCCCGTCTAGCATGCGTGCGGCCCGGGTTCGATCCTCAGCACCACATACCAACAAAGATGTTGTGTCCGCCGAGAACTAAAAAATAAATATTAAAAAAAAAATTCTCTCTCTCTCTCTCTCTCTCTCTCTCTCTCTCTCTCTCTCTCTCCTCTCTCACTCTCTCTTTAAAAAAAAATTAAAAAATAAAAAAATAAAAAAAAAAATAAAGTCAGTCTGGGTAACTTAGCAAGACTGTGCCTCAAAAAAATAATAAAAATAAAAAAGTGTTGGGGATGTAACTCAGTGGTAGAGTGCTTGCCTAACAGGCACAAGGCCGTGGGTACCATCCCTAGCACTGCAAAAAAAAAAAAAAGAGGAAAAAAAATACAGTTATAGCTCTGACAAAATTAATTTCACTGCTTCCAGGCAAGGTGTTGAGTTATAGGGGACTTGCTATCTTTTTCAGAACACTCATTAATGCTATTATAATTCATGCCTTTTTCTCATAATAAAGAAAATCATGTAATATCTCCCCAAAGGAAAACTATTATGCAATTTGGTGAGTGTTGACTGCAGGGACAAGATGACTATGGTATCTACACACACTCAGGATGCTACACACTTGCACAAACATGTGAACAAGAGCAGACACAGGGGTGGGTATCAGAACACAAAGATGAAGAAACATCTCAATTGGATGGTTAAGAAAGTGCAGGCATTTCTACAGATAAGGCGGTTCATTGTCCCCTTAAAGGGCAGTTTCAATAAAAAAGAAGTCAATGAAAAAGAAGGTAAGGGCGTGTGGCATGCTCATGTGGGTGTAAAACCCCCATCCAAACGCTATCTCTTTGCACAGACCTCTAGAGAGCACACGCAGGGAGTTGGCAGTGGCCAGGCTCCCAGAAGGGAAGGGAGGAGCTGCCTGCTGTCTCTGCTCTGCTGCCACTGGGGACTGCTGGGGTTTGGACCGCAGGCATGGTTCCAGAAAACAACCATGATGAATAGCGCGTCCCAGAGGTGGCCTACCCTGCATCAGCTGCCGCTGCTCCTGGATGACCTGCTCACAGAGCAGCCGGTGCTGGTGGTAGCGCTGGATCACAAAGTCCTTCTGGCACAGCAAGTTCTTCCAGTACAGGCTGTTGGCCTGCAGCTCCGTGTTCTCCACCTCTAGCTCGTGGGCCCTGCACAGCAGCCTCAGCACCTCTCGCTGGTCCTCACTGGTGACTTGCTCAGGCAGCAGCTTCTCCATCTGTGAGGCTTTCTGCTTGGCATGGGCCAGGCGTTGCTCCAGCCCGGCCTGAGGAAGACACTGAGGACTCAGGGAGGACATGGGACCCCGCCAGCCATGGCCGCTCATTCCTATGTGCCAAGGTCTACTGATCACGCTCAGGAGACACACGGTGGCAGGCTCTAGGATGTGCCACTGTCCCCTAGACTTTCTGTCCTCTACTTTCTGCATTCTGACACTTTGATACCTGGGGCCTCACTGATCCTGGAGTGGCAGCCCCTCTCAACTTCTGGACAAGGCAAATGACTGATCCGCGAGCTTTCTCTATGGGACTCTCACACTCTGGGTTACATTCCACCTACCCTAATCTCCCCAGAGCTCGTACTAGACAACTAGGACAGCCCCTAGGCCCAAATTTTCTAGCCAGCCAATCCTAAACCTTACTAGMCTTCCTTGACTGTTTCTTCCTGTAGAAACCACAGTGAAGGCCTTGGCCATGTTGCTTTTCCTGCCTCTTAACCCACCCTGGTGCCCCCCATGTGGCCCTGCATGGCACAGCAAGCCCTCTTCTTGGGAACCACGAGTAGCAAACTTTTTAATGGCAGTCATCTCTTGATCCGTCAGCCCCACTGAACCTCAAGTTTCCTATTGACACGTTGTGTTTTAGCTATAGCACCAGGGCTCACCACTCACCATGTGCCCACATGTTGCCATGGGAAACAGAGATGCCCACTTTCACACTGTGGTGCAGCCCCTACATCTGTCGTATGATGGATGGTCCACAGCAAACGTTCTGGGTCTCCCAAACCAAGCAGCACATGAGAGGAAACAGGAAGGGCCAAGGCCCAACTCCTCCATTATACGCCCATAGACTGCTGTCCCCCTTGTAGGAAATGGGCTGGAAGCCCTGTCAGAGTTCTCCAGAGAAACTGAACCCACAGAAGCCCCATACAGATATAGACGTATGTTGTGTACATGTCTATGCACATGTGTGTATATATACTAAAGTCAACTGAGTGCATATGCTAACCAGGCCTACAAAACACCTTCAGAGCAATGCCCAGTGTTTGATGGCATCACTGCATCCTGTAGCCTGAGGGAATGCATCAAAGTAACCATCATACCTCACAATTCCATCCAGGCCCCCAGAGAGTAACATGTGGGCCAAGCCACCTGGTGAGCCCAGAATCAAGGTCCCCAGGAATGGGTCAGATGACAGTTTCCAAAGCACTGAGGAGCTGCATCTGGCCACCTTCTTAATTGGGATCAACAGGGGACCACATTGGAGGAGTTGGCCCAGCTCCCCAGCTGCTCCCCTCCTACTGGGCATTACTCTTTCCCTGAAGACCTCCCTGACTCCCAGGCTACATTAACAGTCCCTCCCCTCCCTCACTTGCCCCTATTCCTGCATTGTTGCTGTGCTGCTGTACTGAACTGCCATGCCATCTCCTCCCACTAGGTGCGAGCATAAATCATAGAATGTGTCTTGTTCATCTTTAGGTCCCTAGGGCCTGTCATTAACGACACTTAAAACATTGATTTGTGTTTGATTAACTGTTAACTAAGTAGTCAAGTGACAGACTTATCATTTACAGACTCCATTGCATATCAATATTCATGCTTGTTCTTGAAGCCATGCTTTCTTGTTGATGCATATTAGCGGTTCAGGCAGAAGCCATTTTTCTTATTTTTTAGAAGTTGGAGGAAATCCAACTTTGAATTTTGAAATGAAATTGCATGATCCCCATGCTGCAGTCAGATGTGGTAGTATCAAGTTCTTGGTTTGGTTCATAGCTTCTAAGTGAAATCAATCCTACCTGCTCGTAACAACATGATGTCATCAGACACTTTTTGCACTGCCTGAGAAGATACCTGCAAGCATTTACTAACGAGCTGCAACAGTACATGCTTCTGTGGAATCTCCAATATGCACCAGTTCAGCAATTTTCCTGAAGTGAGTCTATTAGATAACCAGCTATTATATAAACAGCTCAAACGTGAAAAGACTTCCATCTCCGGAGAGGAACTTGAATGTGGCTTCCTTCTGATGGTGCCCCTGGTCCTTGCATGACATGCCCAAGACCAGAATCAGGGGAGGAATGAGCCAGATGCCCATGGAATCACTCTACAAACTACAAAGTGTTCGCTCTGTATGGGGGTTATTGCAAAGGGAATGAGCGAGCTTTGCCATTCCAGGGTGTCCAGAGAAGGCRAGGCAGGCAGAGTCTCAGTGAAGCAGACACTGCCACTCCTACCCCACTTTCACACACACAGACTTCCTGCCCTGAGCTCYCCCTTCACTCCCTGGGGCAGCAAAACTCCTCAGGAGGGGGCAAAGGCATTGGGTCAGACCAGGTCAGGTCCCAGCTCTGCTCCTTCAATTTACTCAATACATCTTTTTTTCTCCTGCTGTACCACTGAGCAACATCCCTAGTCACTTCTATTTTTATTTTGATATAGGGTTTCACTAAGTTGCTAGCCTCAAACTTTCAATCCTCCTGCCTCAGYCTCCCAAATTGCTGAGAGTACAGGTGTGCGCCACCATGCCTGACTTAATTTATATCTGCACCTCAGTTTCTCATCTCTAAAATGATTGTGATTGACTTTATTCCATGGGATGAGCTGATGTTCACAAAGAGCCCACCCATCCATTGGTTCATAAGCACCATCCCAGTTACCATGAAAATGCTGCATCTCTCTCCCTCACCTTGAGAGCCGCAGTTTTCCGCTGCTCAGCTAAAAGCAGGCCGACTTCYTCTCTGGCCAGAACCACTTCGTGCGGCTCCACAGACTCGCCCTCATCCCCATCAGCATCTGCAGGCTCCTCATCCTTCTCTGGGTCACCCTTGTCCCTGGGCACGTGGTGGTGGGTCTTCTCCCATTCCCAGCTGTAGCAYGGCAGAGGGGACAGAGTGCAAGCCACACCAGGGGCAGGGAGTCCTGGTGCCTCAGGTCCCAGAGCCTTTCTTGGCCCCAGCTGGCTACCTCACAGGTGTGGACATGAAAATGGAGCAGAATTGGATCTTCTGTATGATCTTTTCTCTACATATGATTTCCTCCCTGCTTGCCCAGGACTCCCTACAGCCACCTTGACCTTAAATGTGCCCCTGCTGAGCCTCAGTTTCCTCACTATAAAGCTGTATAATGGGGCTGGGGTTGTAGCTCAAAAGTAGAATTCTTGCCTAGCATGTGAGAGGACCTGAATTCAATTCTCAGCACCACATATAAATGAATAAATAAAATAAAGATCCATCAGCAACTAAAAMAATAATTTAAAAAGCTGGATGATGACAGCCTGCAGGTTCTGGGGCTCTGTGATGATAACTGTGACAACTCAGGGCTCTGTGCAAGGTGCCACATTAAATCTAAACAGGAGGATCCCATGGAAACTATGCAAGAAAGAGGGATAAAGGAAGTCAGGGCAGAAGATGTCTGGCCAGAGAAGGACAAGACAGTGAGCATGTTTTTAAAATCTAGAATTCCTCTAATATAAGTCTTGTGCTGTTTGTGTCATTGAAAATAAGAAAAGAAACAGAAAGGAAGGAGAATAAATATAGGTAGAACTGGAAGTAGAGGATAAAGGAAAGAAATGAGTTTAAATCCCAGGGCTGTTTTAAATGACCCATAGTGGGTAGCTGTGTGTCCTAGTTTGTCCAGGGCAGTTGAGGGGATACCTCTTGTTCCAGTGTAATGGTAAATAGTGCCCCTTTTGCCCCCAAATGTGTCCTAGGGTAAATGATGGATGTCATGGTCAGTCTCTAATGTGGTCACTCTCCCCGCAGCAGGGATGGACAGGGAGCAAGCGTGCAATGGGAGAAAGAGCTGAGGCCCAGGAGAAGCAACACCATCTGCAAGCTGATAGCTCTCTAGGACTCTTCCAAAAATGGTGTTGATCCTTGCCAACCCTCAGGGATGACCCTGAATCACAGCTTATGAGAGAAAAAAGGGGTCTGGAAGTTTCTCCTACCTGGCTCTGCTTAGCCACTGGAGCAGAAGAGTAGGGGGTGAATGGGCAAAGCAGACTGACCTTGGCTGATATCCTTCTGGGGCAACACAGGCAGGAGAGGATGTATGGGGCTCCCACCAGTGGTCCCCACTACCTCAGGCGGGGACCCCTGCCCAGGAAAGACCGTGCTGGGTGTGTAGGATACACAGCAGGCAGCCACACTCACTCTGCGATGGTCAGCAGGTGGCGAGACATGTCCATGTGCAGCTCGATGTTGGTGTTCTCCAGCTCCACCAGGCTGCGCCGCATCTCCATCTGCTCCTTGAAGGCCCCGATGAGTTGTGCCCGGATCTTATTCATCTGCAGGCGGCTGTCCTCCTCTGTGTCGTGGGGGGTGATTGTGACTGCAGGCAGGAAGGGGGATGGCTGTACCAGGAGCAGTTTGGCTGAGCCAGGGTTGAACCCCATGCTCACCCACCATGGAGGGGAGTGATACATGTGTGGATGAATGGAAGATGGCTGGCTGGGTGGGTGGATGGATGGTTGCATGGATGAATACACATGTGTGTGGGTAGAAAGAYGAGTAGGGCCTGGGCACAGTGGGCACCACCTGTAATCCCAGTAATTTGGGAGGCTGAGATAGGAGGATTATAGATTGGAAGTCAGCTTGGACAACTTAGTGAGGCCCTACGCAACTTAGCAAAATTCTGTCTCAAAATTAAAAAATAAAAAGGGCTGGGGATGTGAATCAGTGGTTAAATCCCCAGTATTCCCTGCAGGGAGTGGGCAGGGAGGAAGGAGGAGAAAAACAAGGAGAAGGAGAAGGACTGGTAAGTAGGAGGGTGCATGGATGTGTAGATGGATGGATGGTTATTCTGATAGATAAATGGATAGATGACTTAGAAGGATTAAAACCCTCTCTTTATCTGGTTTCTGGTCAAGTGTTTGGCATTTGAGTCTCAGTAATTCAAAGAGGGGCAAGGTTGGGCTAGCCATTCTAGTCTAGACCTTATTTTCTCAGCAAAACCCTGCCAGATCCTCACTCTGCATCTGCCCCTTGCTCTGATAACACCCTGGCTTCTCCATCACAGTCCTCTACATGTCTGTAATTAGGTGGTATTTTGTAATAAATACTTCATATCTGTTTTCCTTCTAGACTGTGAGCTCCACAGAATAGGAGGAAACTTATGCTTTCTGTTTCAGAAATAGTTAACCAGTAATTAATCAATGGCTTTTTTTTGTTTGTTTTTGTTTTCTCACGTTGCTGGAGATTGAACCCAAGTCCTTATTCAGGCCCTGTGGTCTTCCCACAGGGTAGCTGTGCCCCAGTAGGTAGCTGCACTCTAATTTATGTAATTTGTTGCCTGTCCCCGTGACCTAAATATCAAGGAGTCTGAATTGATGAAATAAATCGTGATGTGTCCAGAGAAGTCACTACAACCATACCAGCAAGATTTGGGGAGCACGGTACCCCAGATAACGCTCATGGAGTAATGTTCCAGAGTCCACACATCAGTGCCCTACAGCATAGCAGGACCTAAGGAGAACCTGTCATGACCTCAGATCAGCAAGAGACCACCTTAGACCAACTCTAATAAATAAGAGCCAGCAGAGAAATTATCATGGTGTGACTCTCTGTTGACCACTGGTCCCAGAGCCCAAGCTTCTTGATAATTATCTAGCTTAGTGAATTCTTTGCAACATCACACTTCCTATTCTACTCACCYCCAAGTCCCTCTGGCCCTCAAAGTCTCACTAGCCCTGGGAATTTAGCCTGCCGTCAATTGCAGCATCCCTTCTTTGAGTTCCCTTCACCAGCTCTTCTGCTTCATCAGAATTCTCACCTTTCCAGAACAGATCCTCTGTTCTCAGGGTAGCTATGACCCACAAGCCCCAGAGTGCCCATCTCAGAGCTGGAATGAGCAAGCTGGGATGCCTCCTATGGAATGTGGTATTATGGAGGGTGGGGTGGGCTATCATGCAGACAGATGACCCCCAGATACGTGGCTGGGGAAGAAACGTGTAAAGAAAAGTAGCTACTAGCAGGGCTTGGTGGCACACAACTTGTAGTTCCAGCTACTTGGAGGCTGAGGCAGGAAGATAACTTGGGCCCTAGGGTTTAAGACTAGCCTGGACAACAYACCCAGATCCCATCTCAAAAGAAAAAACTTTAAAAATATACAGGAGGATTGTGTAGGTTGTATGTAATATTATGACATCTTACACAAAGGACAGAACATCTGAGGACTTGTATATTTAGGGGGACTGGAACTGATTCTCCTCAAATACAGAGCAATGATTGTATTCACATGAGCAATATGAGAACATATTTTTGTTGTTAAAATTTCAAATAATACATCAAGAGTCAAAAGACCCTCTTGATCATCTGATCACCTTCTCTTTCAGACCAGTCCCCTCCTCACCAATAACTATGGTTATCATGGTTCAAGTCTTTCCTCTGCACAGTTGTGACATGGGCATGTCTATGAAGTTAAATGGGGTTTTGTGTTTGGCTTTGGGTGTTCATTTATAGCCTCAGATGGTGGCCCTATTCCTTCCCGTGCTTCTCCCCAGCTATGTGTCTGGGGGCCATCTGCCTGCATGATGCTCACCCTATCCTACGAAACAGGCACAGAGCATTCCATAGGAGGCCACCCCAGCATTCTCATTCTAGCCCTGAGATGGGTACTCTGGGGCTCGCTGGTCACAGCTTCCCTGAGCACAGAGGGCCTGTCCTCTCTGAGAGGCATGAAGGGGCTAACTGCTAGGTTTGTGCTCACCAGGGCTCCCAAAGACACACATTAACACACACTCTTGTGTTAATCCAATCCCATTTTACAATCCCAATAACACTGCTTAAGGCTATCTTTCCATACTTAAATTTACATTATTTTATATTATCTATTTAATAAACATTTCAGTTACCTGGCATTTTTTACAAAATATTTTTTGTTTTAGATGGGAAAAATACTTTTATCTTATTTATTTATTTTTAGGTGGTGCTAAGGATTGAACCCAGTGCCTCACACATGGTAGRCAAGTGCTCTACCACTGAGCTATAGCCCCAGCCCATGTTACCTGACATGTTAATTTTAGCTGGTCTGAGAAGTGAAAAGTGAGAAGTGAAACTTATTTCCAACTTGCATCTCTGCTTTCTAGTGCATTTGAGAATCTTTCCATATGTTTACTGTCACTAAGAATTCTTCTATGAGCTAGGCATGGTGGTGCATGCCTATAATCATAGTGGTTTAGGAGGCTAAAATAGGAGGATTGTGAGTTCAAAGCCAGCCTTAGCAGTGGTGAGGTGCTAAGCAACTCACTGAGACCTTGTCTCTCTAAATAAATTACAAAATAGGGCTGGGGATGTGGCTCAGTAGTGGAGTGCCCCTGAGTTCGATCCCTAGTATCAAACAAACAAACAAACAACAACAAAAAAAAACACCACCACCTACTTCTGGGGGGTGGGGCATGGGAGGATTAGATGAACTCTAGATAGGGCAAAGGGGAGGGAGGGGAAGGGAGGGGTCATAGGGATAGGAAAGATGGTGGAATGAGATGGACATCATTACCCTAAGTACATGTATAAAGACATGAATGGTGTGACTCTAATTTGTGTACAACCAGAGATATGAAAAACTGTGCTTTATATGTGTAATATGTAATACATTCTGCTGCCATATATAACAAATTAAAATAAATAATAAAAAAATAAATTCTTCTATAAATTGACAGTGCTTTGCTCCTTTTTAAAAACTGAGCCACTTATTCTTTTTTTAATATTTATTTATCAGCTTTTTAGGTGGACACAATATCTATATTTTATTTTTATGTGGTGCTAAGAATTGAGCCCAGTGCCTAACGCATACTAGGAGAGCACGCCACCACTTGAGCAACATCCCCAGCCCCCATTTACTCTTTTTTATTGATTTTAGAAGTTCTTTATAAATTTTGGCATGTCATACCATCTTTTTTTTTAATACCTTTATTTATTTTTTTTTTTTGAGAATTTTTAATATTTATTTTTTTTTTAGTTCTCGGCGGACACAACATCTTTGTTGGTATGTGGTGCTGAGGATCGAACCCGGGCCGCACGCATGCCAGGTGAGCGCACTACCGCTTGAGCCACATCCCCAGCCCAATACCTTTATTTTGTTTATTTATTTGTATGTGGTGCTGAGGATCGAACCCAGAGCCTCGCATGTGCTAGGCAAGTACTCTACCGCTGAGCCACAACCCCAGCCCTAAGACATACCTTCTTAACAGAGCAAAGAATATGTATGTACATGCATATCTACTGAATTTGACTTTAATAGAAGTTGTTTTTTTGTTTTTTTTTTTTTGTTTTTGTACTAGGGATTTAATCTTAATCCAGGGGCACTCAATCACTGAGCTACATTCCCAGCCCTTTTTCTTTATTTTGAGACAGGGTCTTACTAATTTGGCCAGAGCCTCACTAAGTTGCTAAGGCTGGCCTCTAACTTGCAATCCTCCTGCTTCAAACTACTGAGTTGCTGGGATTACAGATGTATGCCACTGCACCCAGCTTTGATAAAAATATGCTTGAGTGTTCTTAACTTGCTGACAAATTTTGTCATTTTTTAAACTTTTTTAGGTGTAGATGGACATAATATCTTTATTTTATTTATTTATTTTTATGTGGTGCTGATTGAACCCAGTGTCTCACATGTGCTAGGCAAGTGCTGTACCACTGAGCCACAACCTCAGCCCCAAATTTTGTCATCTTAATGTCAAACTATGTTGTGCTTCCAGACTTAGGAGGAAACTAACTGAATGAAACTGACTTGTGGAGCACAGAGGACATGGAAAACTGCCTTATAGGTATGGGGTGTCACTTTGGAATGATGGAAGTGCTTTGGAGGTGGAGGCTGCACAAAATTGTGACTGGACTAAAAGCCACTGGATTGTTCACCTTAAAATGGTTGATTTTAAGTGATTCCACCTCAGTAACATAATAGGCATCAGAAGCAACCATCAGGGAAGTTAGAAACTTAATGCCTTGACTTTGCAACTTTTTTGTAAATCTAAGAACTAATTCAAAATAAAATTATTATCTTTTAAAAAGCTGAATTAGAAGTTTAGAAAAATGAAAAGTTGAGAGAACAAAGAGAAAAGGAGAAGAAATGTTAAACAAAGAAAGAAAAACTGGGGGCTGGGGATGTGGCTCAAGGGTAGCGCACTCGCCTGGCATGCATGTGGCCCGGGTTCGATCCATAGCACCACATACAAACAAAGATGTTGTGTCCACCGAAAACTAAAATATTAAAAATCTCTCTCTCTCTCTCTCTCTCTCTCTCTCTCTCTTAAAAAAAAAGAAAGAAAAACTGAAAAATTAGAGAAAAGCAGAAAATAATCCAATTCTATTTTACAGGAGCAGAAACTAAAGCTGGGGTTATGGGTTCCCAGTTAGGTAGCGTCTGAGTGAGGACAAAAGCCAATGGCAGGGTCACTGAGTCACTCTTTGAATGAAGATGCTCATAGTGAACAAGGTACCACATGCTTAGGCTAGGAGAAGGAATGGGTCTGGTGGTCAGGGATGCTGGCAGGGGGACAAAGCCACTGAGGCCAGCAAAAGGCACGAGGCCTGCACTCATACTACCTTGTACATCTGGGACGCCAGATTCGCTTTTCTTCTTCTCTTGTTTCTCAATTTTTGATTTAAGGTGTTCGATCTCCCTGCGTAGGTCAGAGATGACATCCGTGTACTGTGCGATGCGGTAGGAGACATTCAATAGGTTGCGCTTGACCTAGTGGAAAGGACATGTGGCCTAGGTCAAAACTGCATGGGAGATGATGTATAAACATGCTTAAGTTATAATCTTTAAAGTAATATTCTCTGCCTTGAAAAGGAAGGAAATTCTGATCCGTGCTACCATATGGATGAGCCTTGAGGACGTTATGCTCAGCAAAATAAGCCAGTCACAAAAGGACAAATACTATATGATTCCACTTCTCTGAGGTCCCTAGAGCAGTCAAATCCACAGACAGAGAGCAGAATGGTGGGAGCCCAGCTGGGGAGGAGTGTCTAGTGGGCAGGGTTCCTGTTTCTGTGATGAAGTTCTTAGGTGCTTGTCTCTTGGGCAGCTTTCATGTCACCCCAAAAGACCTCACCTGAAAGCCCTCTTTGCTGAAGTTCCTTTAATTCAGTATTCTCTGTTACCTTTGCCATAGCAGCATGTGGGGAGCCACTCTGAATGATTCTGCCTTCCATCCTGGAGCAGAGAAGCTTTGACTGGTCACTACATCTCGTAGTGACCTGGACATTCCCCTGGTCCAGGAAGGTTGAAGACGCGTCTTCAGATGTAGGTGTGTCGCCCCATGGATTGAGCTACCCTCACCTATTCCTGTGTAATACTACCCCTTTGCCCTGTTTGGGACAGACTGTTTCATGGAAATACCCTTTGTGTGTCCCCTTCTCTTGCTCTGCCTTTGGTTGTGGCCTTCCTAGGTGATAGTCAACCTGCTGACAGCAGACATCYCAAAGCTAGACTCAACCCCCTGAAACTTGTCCCCTTGCTTCATTTGCATGGCTTCTCCTCAATAAAAGGGTTCAGCATGAGCTTGCTCTCTCTCTTTTTGCGGACCCTTAAGATCAAAGGAGCCATCACAAGACCCCAAAGAAAAAGGTATCTCTGTCTCCTGTGTGGTTATTTCATGCAGCTCAGTTCACCCGGAGTGACCCTGAGTTTTTGTCACGTTCCACGTGACATGTGCTTCAGTTGTCCAGTCTGTAAAATGGAGATAAAATAGGATACACCTCCTAGAGTTTCTGTGAGAATGGAATAAATTAAACTACAGGGAGAGTTTACAGCCATGCCTAGCACATAGATAGAGGTGCCCATGGCCTAACTCAGAACATGTGAGTATGAACTTATTTGGGAAAATGGTCTTTTAGATATAATTGACCTCAAAATGAGAACATCCTCAATCAGGGTGGATCCTAAATCCAATGCCAATTGTCCTTTTAAAAGAAGCAGGTGTGGTGGTTCGTACCTATAATCCCAGCTACTCAGAGGCTGAGGCAGAACAATTGAAGTTTGAGGCCAGCCTGGGCAACTTAAGGAGACTCTGTCTCAAAATGAAATAAAAAGGGCTYGAGGTGTAGCTCAATGGTAGAGCACTTTCCTGGCATGTGTAAGACCCTAGTTTTGATCCTCAGTACYACCAAGAAGAGAAAGAGAGGGAAGAGAGAAACGAAGAAAAAAGGGGAGGCCCCGTGAAAATGGAGAGAGATGGGGAGAGGCAGTCATAAGCCACAGGACTCCCAGAGCCTCTTGAAGCTGAAGGGGGAGGAGGATCCTCCCGTAGAGCCTTCAGAGGGGCTCAGAAGGAACTGTCCACACCTTCATCTCTGACCTGTGAGAGACGAAGTCACCTAGTTTGTAGTAACTCATTGCTGCAGCCACAGGAAGCATGCAGATGTGGGTAGGTAAAGTCTCTACAAGGGTTGGCTGTTATTTCATCTCTCCACTGCAGAGACAATGGAAGTGGGCACAGAGGTCACTAGCCAGGGACAGCAGTGCAGAAAGAGACCCAAGCCATCTAGCTGCAGGGTCTGTGCATGACAGCCACCCCCAGCAGTGAGCATAAGTGTAAAATGTGGGAATGAATGAGCAAATGAATGAATGAGTGAGTTAGCAAATGAGTGAGAAAATGGGTGGGTGAGCAAGTAATGAGTGAATGAGTAAATGAGTGAATGAATAAATGAACAAGAGAGTGAATGAATCAGTGAGTAAACGGACGAGTGAGTTCAAGAGTAAATGAATGTTCCTATGTACATATATGAACACACAACCAATGTGATTCCACATCATGTACAACCAGAAGAATGGGCAGTTTTCCTCCATGTATGTATAATATGTCAAAATACATTCTACTGTCATATATAACTAATAAGAACAAATAAAACAACAACCACAAAAAAGGAGTAATGAATGAATGAGCAAGTGAGTGAGAGAGGGAATGACTGAGTGAGCAAGCCAGGGACCTTACCCGCGTCTTGATGTTCTTTGCCCTGTAGGCATAAAGTAGTGTGGTCCGCGACTCCTCGAAGCTGGTACTTGCTGGGCTAATGTGGGCAATCATTACTGTGCGGCTGTTCCCTCCCAGGGCATCCTGCTTGGGTGGAAGCCACTGAGTTGGGGTGATGGGAGTCCCGTTCCCCTCTGGCCAGGGCAAAGCCTTCCCCCAGCCACCACCAGACCTGCCTGGACCAAATCCTGAAAAGGGCCAATGATGTTTGGGAATAAGGGGCTAGTGACTGCAGGATGAAGTGGGACCCATTCCAGGCCCACCTTGTCTTTTTTCCGCTCTGATAAGAGCAAATTAGACCAAGAGATGAAATTTATAGGGACATTTATTTACTGCTTTGCCTATGTGTTTATTGGTACCCTGCCTTGCTGTAGAATAAGGTGACAGCATTCAGATCAGTAAAAAGAGGTATCTTCTCACATCATAGCCATCTGGGATGGGACTAGCAGCCACAGGGAAGCAGTAGGTTCCTTGTCACCAGGGRTTTGCAAATAAAGCTGGACTTTGCTGGGGGCAGGGAGTGGATGGGGACAAGTGACCAGGGTAGTTTCATGGTGTTCTCCTGCCTTCAGAGGTTCCTGGAAGGACCCTGATTCTCAGGCCTGGGCATCACTCCTGACAGGTGACTTAATTCCTGAGAGACACGGTCACCCACTGAGGCCCACACAGCCTAGCCAGCCAGGAGCACTCACCTTCAACAGACGCGTGAGTTTGCTATCGCGGAAGTTCACATACTGCGCCCGGCTGCCACCCTTCTCACTGAGCGCGTTAATGCAGTTACCCAGTGCTAGCAGCGAGCGGTTGATGTGTGCGCCCTCCTTCATCCTCTTGCCCCGGTTCTGGGTCTGTGCAGGAAGAGGCCAGGCTGAGCAGGTGGCTCTGGGCCCATTCATTCTTTCCACCTCCACTTCTCCATCCCCAGGGAGGGGACAAAGGCCTGGAGGCAAGGGAGTGAAACAGCCCCCATCCAGCCCTGGTCCTGGTGCGGTTGTTCTCTGAGAGCTCTTGGGGCTGGAAGACACCCTTGGCATTGTGCAGTGGAGTGGCACACAGCATTCCCAGTGATGCTGGGCTCTGACCCATGTGCAAAAGATGCTCATTGTTGGATGAGGTAAACACAGACAACAGAGACGTCTGTCCAGAGAAACCCACTTTATATTAGAAATAGGTTTGTGGGGTTTTGCCTGGGAAGACCTGCTCCTACCCTGGCACTCTCTACAGGCCCCCTCCTTTGAGGGCTCCCACCCAGCTCTCTGAGAGGAGACCACAGCCCCAGCCTTCCATACTTTCCAATGCCATCTTCTTTGTTTACTTCAAATCACTAGCTTTCTTGGAAACCATTCACTTTTCATGTGTTCAGTGTTTTTCACCTGATATTCCACAGAATACAAGTTCCACAAAGGCACCACCTGTCACTTGTTGGCCATGTGTTCCCAGAGCCCAGACATCTGCAGACCCCTAGACACAGCAGCATGCCAAATCAATGCATACGCAATAGCCCTGCACACACACTCTTAAGTCCAAGCTGCCTCAAGAAAGTGACTCCAAAATACAGTCACTGCAGGGAGGGATTTTTATTTTCCTCCTTTTGCCTATCCATATTTTCCAAATTTCTTGCCCTTTATGTTTAAAATCAGAAAAAAAAATTTACTATTGCTTTCTTTTTAAGGGCAGAATTTTRGAGTCCTGAAAACATGGTTTGAGAATGACTGAAACTACTTATTGCTGACAAATCTCCCTGTCTGTGTTCCTATTCACTCAAAGGGACAGTGATGGTGATAATTTCACAGAATAGTGTATGGAAAGGCAGCATGGAGCAGGTACCCAAGAGAGCAACAAATATAGCTGTTGCTCTCACTAAGCAGAAGCCAGTGCAGGGTAGGACTTGGGCTGCCAGCATGGCCTAGAGCCAGGGCAGCCACTTGTATCACATGTCTGTGAAAGACCAGGGCATTTCTCAGACACCTTGTGCTGTCTTATGTGAGTGGTTTTCTTTGTAAGAGCAGAGCAGACCTCAGAGACAGTACATCTAGGCCACTGAGTAAACACTAAAACACCAAAGCCAGAGAGGGACGGTGGCAAGCCCAAAGGCACACGCTAATATAGAGCAAAGTGAGGGCAGGAATCCAGGACATGGACCCTTTAACTGGTACCCTCTCCCAGAGCCACATTCTGGGAAGRCCAGTCTGGTCCCCACTTTGCCTTCTAAGAACACAGCTGCCATCCTAGCTGCTGCCCAGAGCTCAGGGCTCTCCTCCACTGCATTCAGCATTGTATGTGATCTGTCTGTACTAACCATGCCTTCTATTTTCTGCATTCTGATGCTTCAACATCTGGGGCCTTGTTGACCCTGGGGGGACCATCCTCCCAGGGTTAATCAATTCCTAAAGCCAGTAAACTACGCACCTGAGAATTCATTTTTCACTTGCAAACTCACCAATCCATAGCTCATACCCCAACCACCACTGCTATGGGCCCTCATTCTCTGGGCCACCATCCCCCTACCCTAGTCATCCAGGGCCAGGTACAGACAACTAGGGATGCCCCCACCCAGGTCCCAGAGCACCCTGGCATTGTTCAGACTGGCCAACCCTCTGCCTGCCTGTCCTGGTTCTACTCACCTGTTCCTTCCTGGGGAACCACATCAAAATCTCTGCTACAGTCCTGCTCCCACTTCCTCCCAAACCACCCAGTGCTTCCCTTTGTTCTCTGTCTGCTTCTCTTGGGAACTCTGACAAGCTTGGAATGGCAGTCATTCCTTGATCTGCTGGCCCCACTGTGCCTTACAATTTCTGTTAATACATTTTAAAAGAGTCTGACAGGGCCAGGCCCTGCTTTGCTTTAGCAACCTGGGGACCCAGGGAAGGGGTAGATATAGGGCAGTGATAGATCGCCATCCCAACATCCAGGGCATACAGTGCAAACCAAAGTGAGAAAGGAAGTGTCAAAGAAAGAATGGCACGGTTCAGGCCAGACTCTCCCAAGTTCAAAGCTTGGGTAACTTCTCATCACCTTTGTTCATGTCCAGGTCACATTGACTCYAGCCACAGCTCCACATTATGGCACAGGCACAATGCTACCCACCTCAGTCCACATCAGGAGGGGCACATGGACTATGAACATTAAGTGCCTGGTTAATTAGAGGGACATGGAGTGTCACTTGCTGATGACAATGATGCCCCATACAGCTCCATGAGCTCCTTCTCTGGCCTGGCCCTAGGCTAGAGCCTGCCCTTAAGCAATGCTCAGGCCACTGGACAAGAGCTAAGGAGCCTAGTGCCCTCACTTAGACAGGAGGAGCAAGGAAAAAGGAGCCTGGAACTTGGGGAGGGCACTGGGCTGGTGCCCTGCAGTGCCTGGAGCAGGACCTGTAGCCTCTTACACAAGTCACATATATTGTCCCCTCAGAGCCTCTGTCCCCACTGTTCCCTCTGCTGAAATGCTCTTCCTTGTACTTCACCCAGCTCCTCAGGACCTTTTTAGGCTCAGGCCTGAGACCCCATCACCTCTGGCTCCCACAGCCTCTTTGAGGACCCTGACTCTCAAAGACCTACCTCCCTGGATGAAATTGCCCACAAGCAAATCCCAAAAGCTCCAAGTTCTCCAAGGGCAAGCACATGTATGGCTCATGCCCCCGAAGAGCCTGCGGCAAAGGAAGCCCCTGTATCTCTGGGCTCATTTCCCTCAACATTTAGCATGTGCTTCTTCTCCATCAGAAAGATGCACTAGGCACTGGAGACACAGCTAATCAGGGACAGACAAGGTTCCACCAGAAACTGGAAGGGGACAAGACACTAAGGAAGTGATCATAATGACATTTGAAAGGGTGGGCATGGACCTGGCATGCCCTTTCTGAGCCCGCCAGGTCCACCATAAAGAGCCTCCCAAGGCGCGCTTCCTCTGCCAGGTCTGTGCTGCGGCTCTGCTGGTGCACAGTGACCTGCAGCACAGCGTGGGAGCGGGATGACGTCTTGTTGGTGGCTGTGGGTTCCTGCGTGCGCTGCCGATTTCCTCTGGTGAGGAGCTGCATGATCTGAGGACAGAAGCAGGCAGGCGGTCAAGGACTGTCTGCATAGCCACACACCATTTCTAGAAACACCCAGAAAAGAGAAAAAGGATGGCCTCAGGGCTGGGATACTTACAGCAGGAAGGCAGCACCTCTCCCGTGGGAGCAATTCTGAACAACTAGTTAACAGGAGATGCAGAATCCTGGCTCTGGCCACTGCCCATCCTGTCCTCTACCCCACCAGTGAACTACCTATCCCTTCTTCACACAGTCCAGCACAGCTCCACAACACTTTGTAGCATGGAACTCCAGGCAACAGTACAGATTTGCTGGAGTTGGCAGGTGTGCTAAAAACCCATCTGCTATGCTACGGAACTCAAGGCAGTAACCTCAGCTGAGCACCCTGATCATGATGCCCAGGGAGGATCAGCAGAGGCAGCAGATGGAGAGAGAGGATGGGGCTGGAGAAGTACTTGCAACCTGCCTTCATTAAGGGAGTCATCATTAGGGTCAGAATRGCAAATGGATTTGGACCTAAGCAAATTCTGATGCTGTGATTGCTGGGGCACCGTGTTGAGAAGGACCCAGGTCAGAACCACAGGCCAAGGAAAGCATGTGGGATCCATCAGTAATGTCTGCCCTGAGCACCTCAGCAGGTGGATGTTTGCCAGGAGAGGATGGTGGGCTCTGGTGTGTGGCTGCCGTCATCCTCACCTCTTGGGCATTGGAGGTGGAGACCTCTGTGATGCCTGCAATCTGGATGCTGCCCTTAGAATCTTCCCTCAAGTCCAGAAACCCTGAGGATGGGTTCAGAAGGTCCCGGATCACTTCATTATAAATCTGGGAGAAGAGAAAGTTTGAAACAAAGTAGCTTTGGTGCAAAGAACTATAAAGACCTACACACCATGGAGGCTTGAACTGCCGGAAAACATCAACCCCAAGGACCAAGGCTTTTTATRGGCCAACCAGCATTTGGGGCAACACACAGAACTGGGGATTTCAAACATACAGCTGTTTAATCTGGTGCCATCATGTCCATGGGGTAATGGAGATGGGGTAACAGGGACAGGTGGGCAGGCCCACCTCAAGATAAGATATAGACACGCTATAGTCCATGTTGTCCCGGGTCTTCTCGATGGCCTGGAAGAGGTCAGTGAGGGTCTGCAGGTAGATGCCAGGCTCCGCATCCATGCCCAGCATGGTATGGGTCTTCCCTGCACCTGAGGAGGGGTGGGAATTCCTGAGCGGGCTCAGACATGTTTTGTTTCTAATATTTTTTTTAGTTGTTGATAGACCTTTATTTATTTATTTTTAAATTTATATGCAGTGCTGAGAATCAAACCCATAACCTCACACATGCTAGTCAAGCACTCTGCCACTGAGCCACAACTCCAGGCCTAACATGTTGTTTTATTTTTTTAAACTATATTATTTATTTATTTATTATTTGTATGTGGTGCTGAAGATCAAACCCAGGGCCTTGCATGTGCGAGGCAAGCGCTCTATCACTGAGCCACAACCCCAGCCCCTGATACGTTGTTTTATAATAAAGAGAATTAACATTGCATTAGGTAAGGAGATGCCTCCCTCTCAGGGATGCTTCAATGTCTCCCTCATCTCTGCACATAAAAGTGAGGAAAAGATTGTTCTTTTCCTTCTAAAGCCTGGCACATGGTAGGGCTTGTTATGCRTATTGAATGAATGAATGGAACAGATGCACACAGCATGACTTTGACCAAGGTGCTTCTTAGGACCTGTCTCCTTGTCTAAACAGTGGTAGGTCAGGGCCTGCCCAGCCCTAACCCTCTGTGGTTCTAGTTTCTAGGCATGAGAGGTAACTTAGCTTTGCAAATGCTTGTTGAACACAACTTGTAACTACAGAAAGTCTATGRGTTCTTGTGGGCAGCAAAGTGTAGGCTTGGGTGCAATTCCAGAATCCCCCCTGGTGACTGTATGACCTTGAGGAAGTTCCCCAAGCCCCCCTAAGCAGCATCTCATCTGTGGAAAAAGAATATTCTACCCACCCCTAGAGCTGCTGAAAGGCTGCTGGGTGCCCCCACACAGGGTCTGATGCTGTTAAGAGRGCCCACTGCCACCAGCCCTGCTTGGTACCTGAGGGGCCGTAGGCAAACACTGTTGCGTTGTATCCAGAAATGACGCCTTCCACTAAATGCTGGATGGTGGCACAGTACACGTCTTCCTGAAGACAGAAGATTAGTCAAAGGACAGTCCAGCCCAAGTCTGACCATCTGACTGCTTGGCGGGGACAGAACCTACAAATGTCTGCTCTCTCTGAACGTGCACAGTAACACACAGGAGGGAGACTAGAGAGAAGCCTGGTGTTGGAAATGCCTGGGTACTAACCCCAGGCTGTCACTGGGTAGTTTTTGGCCACTGCCTCCACCATGCCAAGCCTCATGGTATGAGACAGTGCTGACCTCACAGGCTGGTTCTGAACGAGGATTAAATGAGAAGGTAGCAGGGACCTGCCACCAGAAGGCCTAATGCATGAAACTACCAAACACAGGTGAGTCTTTCCCAGGGCTTCTGAGAGAATTGAGAGGAGCARAAAAGAAACAAAGGACTAGAAGGAGGGACAGACTTGGAAGTATGTGAAGAGTATTTGACCATCTTTACARGCATAAACTGGGATGGTGGGCAGGTAGAACATGATACAAGGCAGCAGTGCCAAGCAACAGGATTGTATGGGTGGTGAACACGCTGTCCACAGGGGAGTCCAAGGAGAGACACTCCAGGGCTGGTGTGTTTTTCAGGTCCCACTGGCCTGACAGAAACAGCAGACACCCCTTATATTGTACCTCCTGGGTGGCCACTCTGGACCTTGTTCTCCACTCATGATACGACCTGTAGCACTGACTGGTCACAGCTCCCCTGAGCCTGGGCTGGAAGACCCCAAAGTTGGCAGTGCCTCCCTTTAGCTTCAAATGTACAATCAGAATCTGGGGTCTGTGGCCCTCTGTGTGACCTTAGGCAGGTGGCTGACTTCTAGAGATCTGTTTCCTCATCTGCATAATGAGGGTGTGTTCCCTTATGTGTCACAGGGTTGCTGTGARGTTTGTCAAATGAGGCCACTGTGTTTCCAGCAGGCCCTCTGGTGAGCTCTGCAATCCTTGCTGAGATGCCATCCATGGGAATTGGCCTCTGGGGTCCAATGGGCAGACAGCGTAGGTCAGAAAGAGTGGTAGGCTGAAGATGGCCAAACACTCCACCAGTTCTCCACTGAGGTGTGGAGTCCAATTCCTGTACCCCAGAAGGTGACCAGCCTTTAGGACTGGCTCTCTCTGTCATACTCTGAACCCTGGCTTCCTCTATAATGTAGAGTATCCAGGTCCCACTCAGAAGGAGGGGCAGATGACACATTGGACAGTGTTTCGTCCCTTAACTGGTGGTAGTGATGTGAAGTTGAAGGAGTGGGTCTTCACACCAGACCCAAATGCCCAGCTCTGGGCCTCACTATGTGGCTTTACAAAGCCACAGGCACCCCACCTGTGAAGTGGGCATGACAGAGCTTCCACCTGGACTCCCCTTCTGTTCCATGCTGGCTCATTCCTCCCTCAGGTCTCAGCATAAATGTCTCTCCTCAGAAAGGCCCTCACTGCCCACTCCTGCCTGGCCTGGTACAGCCGATGTCACAAATAAGCCTATTTTCCCCTTGCCCTCATCTGCCTCTTCTGCTGGGATGTGTGCCACATGGGGCAGGGACTGTATTTTAATGGGGGGCAGGACAGAGCCCACCTTGTGGAATGAAGTAGTGAGTGAATGAACTAAAGAGAAGCCTCCTGGCAGTGCCAGCACCTAGTGGCCCCTGTGTCCACAGAAGGGCCTCCTACTCTTGAACCCTGGGTGGGTATTTTGGCCACACCCTCCTTGTTCCTGAGGGAGACCTGGGGAGAAGACCGATGAGATGGCCTGGCCACCAGTCCCTCCCAAAAGGCACTGCAGCCCAATGTGGACAGGAGGAGGGCAGATGAATGGGCACCTGTGATGCTTGCTGGTCGAAAACAGTGTCGAAAATGAAGGTGCGCTCCCGTGACCGGTGTGCACGCAGAGGGTCCTCAGGATCCTCATTGGGGTCCATAAGCACAACCACCTGGGAACAACGAGACAGGTGGAGGTCTGGTCAGAACACCAGAAGGGCTCCAGCTCAGGCACCCACCTGGATGAGGTCTGGATTCGAGAAGGGCTTACGTTTTTTGTGCTCAAGTTGGTGGTGTGGTGAGAAACCACCCCCAACCTTAGCACCCCCCCATTCACTTTCTGAGGGGGTGATGTCTCTTGCTATTGAACCACCAAAGCATGACTGTCAGCAACCCCAGGTCTGCTGAGCTCTGCAGCCACATTCACATTCATCCCAGAGATGTCCCTCCAACCTCAGCCTGAGGAGGGCAACCCAGCCACGCTTGGTACAGCCCAGCTCAGCACAACAGGCCAGCATTCTCAGTGCGCACCCTGGGCCAAGGCCTATGTGACAAACCCTTCTATGAACTATGAGGACAAAAGAGAACAAGGGATTTTCCGTAAAAATAAACCATAGGGTGCTGGGCTGACCACCTCACACGTAGTCACCCCACGGTGACTGAGTATTTTCATTCCTTCTCATCTCTTGCCTCTGGTTGGGGCCAGGTGTAGGAGGGGAAGCCAGAAAAAGGAAAGAGAACAAAAGGACCATCCAAACCCTCCATCCATAGCTTTGTTTCTGAGAGCCTGGYCTCTCCCAACCTCCACCAGGTGTCTCCAACCTCACACACCTCACATAAAGACCTCACATAAATACGCAATTAAGAAGCAAAGTGTATTAGGCTCTCTGGGGACAGAGAGGTTCAAAGGAACCTTTCCCAGGGAATTGGGAGGTGAGGAAGACAGTGGCAATTAGAAGCCAAACACATCCTGGCTGGTGGGGACCTGCAACCGTGGAGTTGGGGGACACTGCTGGGCAACACCAAGAGCCCCACCATCTGGCCACAGCCCGACCCTTCCATCTGTTCACAGCTTTGGAAATAGAGGTCCTGGGAGGCAAGGGCCTTCTAGAGGTTGTTGGGGATTTGGTGGCAGGGCTGGGTCCAGGTCTCCAGGCCTGCTCTTGGCTTCTGGCCAGCACTTGTTCCATAATATAAGCCAACCCTCTTTCCTGTATCTTACTTCTCCTTCCAAGGATTGCAGGAACAGACCCACAGCAGGCTCGGCTTGTGTTGCAGGAGAAATCAGACGGGATCTCTGTTAGGAGCTCCTAACCCAGCAGAGCCAGGAAGGGGGTAAATGCTCTGGAGGCCTAGGGTTGTGGCTCAGTGGTAGAGAACTTGCCTAGCACATGTGAGGTGCTGGGGTTGATCCTCAGCACCACATATAAATAAATAAAATAAAGGTTCATCAACAACTACAAAAAAAAATAATAATAATAAAGTGTGCTCTGGAGCCCTGTAGCCTGGATTCCTATTTCTTACCAGCAGGGAGACCTCGGATCCTTTGCCTCAACTTTCCAGGCTTCAGTTTTTTCCTCTGTAACATGGCTATGATCATAGAGCCCACCTGTTAAGAGCTGTGAGGGGTGATGGTGGGAAATCACTGAGTCCTGGGTGTTCAAAAATATCAGCTAGGGTTATGGCTCAATGGTAGAGCACTTGCCTGGCACATGTGAGGCATTAGGTATGATCCTCAGCACCATATAAAAACAAATAAATAAAATAAAGGTTAAAAAAAAGAGTAACTGAGAATCCTGTTAACTTTATATATATGTATCAGCTGCATGACTCTTGGACCAAAAAAATATTTTCTTTTATCATAAAGAACATTATTGAGAAAAATCAGCAAAATATGAGTGTCTATAGATTAGATAATATTAGATCAACATGTACTTCCTGGTTTCGGTCACTGCCCTGAGGTCAGTTACAAGAATGTTCTTGTTTTCAAGAGACATATGCCAAAATGTTTGAGTGGGGAGAGCCCTAATGCCCACCACTTACTCCAAGACTCCAGAAAAAAGGTCTGCACCACAGGGAAATAGGAGAGCAGGCAAACATGGATAGATGTTAACATTTAGAAAATCTAGACACAGGGAATGTGGGAGCCATGTAGGGCTCCTGCAACTTTTCAATGGTCTGAAGTTACTTCACCATAAAAAGTTAAAATAAGGGCTGGGGTTGTGGCTCAGTGGTAGAGCGCTCGCCTTGCATGTGAGGGTGAGTTTGATCCTCAGCACCACATAAAAATAAATAAATAAAATAAAGATTAAAATAAAAAGTTAAAATAAAACATGCCAGATGTGGGTGATGCACACCTGCAATCCCAGTGGCTCRGGAGGCTGAGGCAGGAAGATTGCCAAATTCAAGGCCAGCCTTAGCACCTTAGGGAAGCTCTAAGCAACTCTGGAGATCCTGTCTGAAAAAATACACAGGAGGGCTAGGGATATAGCTCAATTAGTGCTTGCCTTGCATGCATAAGGCCCTGAGTTCAATCCCCAGCACCACAAAAAAATATAAAAATAAAAACGGATGTGGATGTTGCTCAGTGGTTAAGCAACACTGGGTTCAATTCCTGATTTTTTTATACACACACACACACACACACATATATATACACACACATATATACACACACACACATATATATATACACACACACACACATATGTTGCAACATAGATGACCCTCATACACCTCAGGCTAGATGGAAGAAGCAATGGGCTGCATCTCCAAGATTGCATTTAAATAAAATAGAGGCAGAAAGTGGACTGGTGGCTTYCAGTGGCAGGAAGGGGGGAAGAGGAATGGGGCCTTCTTTTGGGGTGAGGAAACCATTCTGTCACTGGATAGAGATGCTGGTAACACAGCCCTGAGGATGAATTAAACACCCTGGATGGCGTGCTTTGAATTGGTGAAATGTATGTGATGTGAACTCAGTTCTCAGAGTGARTCATCTACAGTGCACAGCGAGATGCTATGAGCCTGTGTGAAGCACAGGCCCTGCATCTGACATGTCCACTGTTCTCACTGATCTTGGGTCTACACCACCACATCTGCCCATGAGCATGCTGGGGGTGGTATCTCTGTCAGTTCTCTACCACTTCCTGACTTACTGCTATCAGGTGACAGTTGCACCTCTGACTGCACTATGCTGTTACCTCATGAGTTTCAGTAGAGTAACACTCAGTGTTCCCACATCCTTTGTAGCAAATCCGCATCCTTTCCTGCAAAACTTTTGACTCCCTCAATGTAACAGCAGTCTTGTGTTTTTAGCTTAGTTTTCTGCAACTTCAGTGCTGACTCACCCCGATCTCTTTGCCAGCCATTCACCCCACAGATGTTCTGTCCAATTGTCTTCTTCCTGACCTGCCAAATCAGGATAGGTACCCCCACCCCAGGGGACAGCTGTCAACAGGGATTGCCCACCACCAAGATCTGGGTCCTTCAGGCTTCAGCATAAACCACCTCTCCAGAGCCACATTTCATTCTTCATGGAAGACACCTTCCTAATGACAAATGAAAAAACCCACCCACTTTCCAATGACATACCCCAGATTTGGCATTTGTTCTTGCAGGTGRAAATCAAGGGCAAAAGCTTTGCTAACAGTGTGGTTAGCTTGGCTCTGAGTCTGTCTCTAAGGAGAAATCCCTAGCAATGGCAGTGAGCCGGCTGTGAAGGGGAATCTCTTGGGAGTCTGACTGCAGATCTAGACCTGGGCCTACTAAAACTGCTCTCCCAGCCTCTTCTGCTCACTCCGGCTGCTTCTCAAATAGGCCACACCTGGCTGCTTCAGGGCTCCAGCCTGCTGCCCACTCTGCCTAGTTTCTCCTGCCTCCCAGCCCTGCTCCAGTGTCTCACCAGAGGTCTTTACCACAGCCGTTCGGATGAAATTCCCAACATTATACACAATATTAATAAAAACAAACTTGGCGGGACCCTTGTCAGCCTCCACTTGACCCGTGGGTGGGAGCTACTATATAAGCATTTGTTAAGAGAATGAGTTACACGGGTAAATGTGCATGGCTGGGTGAGCTTCACAGCTACCCTGTGCCTCTGTGCCTCCCAACCTCACCTGGTCCCCCACTTTGTGGGCAATGACGGTGGCTCCTTCCTCCAACTCTGCTGCATTGAGTGGACGGATTCGAAGCGCCACCTGTGGGTAGGACAGGAGCAGTGCGTTCACGAGTCCCTCTAAGATTGCTCCTTCTTCTTCCTCAAACAGCAAGTTGCCCAGTCCAAACTCCCTCCTGTCCTCCTTTGATGTCCCACACAAACTCAGTGAAGCAGGAGGAGCCCTCCGGAGTCACTTTTTTCCCTTCTATTTTGTTTTTTTTTKTGTGTTGCTGGTGATGGAACCCAGGCCTCATGCAAGCAAAGCAAGGGCTCCACTACTGAGCCTTACCCGAGCCCCTGCCTAACTTAACACTGGCATGAAATTATTTATGTCTTGCAGCAACCCTTTGAGGAATACATGGTTATGTCACCCTTGTGGAACAGAAGAAGGTACTGAGGCACATAGAAGGGAAGTATTTGCCTAAGGTCACATAGCTATGGAGTGTGACCAGGCCCAAAGTGAGCACTCAGAAGAACCTACATAACTGGGCTATGGCTGTGGCTCAGTGCTAATGCACTTGCCTGGCATGTGTGAGGCACTGGGTTCGATTCTCAGCACCACAAATAAATAAATAAAATAAAGGTCTATCAAAAAAAAAAAAAAAAAAACAAAAAAAAAACACCTACTTCCCAAATGGAAGATGGCTGGAATTAGACTATATATGAACTGGGGCCAATATCACTGGTCTCTCTTTTACCAGCCCACACTTGGGGCCAGTCCCTGGTTTTAGTTCCCCCAAAGTCAGAAAAGCTGAGGTCAAGTCACTTAACAGATGGGTCTGGATAGGGACTATGTAGGGGTTGAGGAGCACAGTCCTGCCCCCATCTGAGTCCTGGTCCAGGTCCCAGTTCCCTGGGGAGGGAAGGTCACAGGGCAGGAGGTAAGGAGTCTGGAGACATGGTGAGGAGGGCATGGGGTCGCTAGGTCTCTGGCGGAGCAGAGGTGGGGCCCTGGACATGAGACAGCTGTTAAGCGATTGTCCCAGGGTAGTGGGTTCAGAGTGTAAGGGAAGTGAGAACTGGGAGGGTAGGGGWCACAAAGGGTGAGAGAGGGGTGCTTACCATGAGCTGCTGGTCCTTGGGCTCCATCTCCCTCAAGGCTGGGCTACCCTGGGCTGGGGAAGGGCCAGCAACCTGGTGGGAAGGCATGCTGCAGAACAGGGTCTGGCCGTTATCCTGGCAGAAGCAAAGCCAGCTGCAGTCTAAGCTCAGCCCCGCCCTGCCCCATGACATCAGCTGGGTCCCAGGGGTGATGCTTAAGAAACTCTCCAAGACCAAGACAGGCGCACATGAGCCAGTAACTGGRAGTCAGCACAGGCTTCCTATCTGTGTACCACCTAATGCCATAGCAATCCCATGTCCATGGGTCTTACTGGTCTATGGTGAGCCTGCCCTGACAGGGCCTGCACCTGCTCTTTGTAGAGTTCCCCTCTCCCCACCCTGAAACAGGAGCCGTAGCCCACCTCAGTGGCTGCCTCAGTGCAGCAGATCATGGTCATCTTGGGGCTTTCCCACCCAAGGGACAACCAGCAACAGCTAAAGGAAATAACCACACTTTAAATGCCCTTTTCCGCATGACTCTCTCTCCTCCCATTGTTCATCTGCACATCCAGGGCCCGATTAGAGGCTGCTCAGCTCGTATTCGTTGCTTATACGCTGTGCTCAACTTTTCCACTGTAGTCCCTGGGGAAGGCACTGCCTATGAACCTACCCAGTGCAGCAGACTGCACTTGTCAGGCCATGCAGGCAGCGGGGTTGCAGGAAGACCCAGCCCAAAGTCAGAGATGCGCTACAAACAGGACAGTGCCCTTGTGTGCTGATGAAGTCACACAAAGCCAGGGCCTGTGAAGCCCAAGTCTGAGCTCCCTCCAGGATCCCAACTAGAGCTGGGCAGTTGGCAGAGGTGAGCCCCAGCTAATCAATCCCTTAAGCTCACCAGGAGCTCTCAGGCCCTCCTGCTCCATAAACCACTGTGCTGCTTTTGGAAAACCACTGGATGGTTCATGCGAGGGCACAGTTCACACTTRGTCATTTTCCTCTCCTCTTCTTGGTATCCAGATACCCTCCCTTGAGGGAGGGAGAGCAACCCTTTAAAAGCTAAGTCTCCCAACCTCTGCCCTAGAAGTAAAAGCCCCAGCCTGATCAACAGAACAAAGCACTCTTTTTGCTTCATAGAGACAGGACCAAGACAAGGTTTCAAAGAGCCCAGGCCCACCCAACAGCCCCCAAGCAATGGGGACACCCCCTCCTCTGGCTCTGGGATGATCAGTTAACTTCCCCTAAAAATTGTCATCCTGGGAATTCCATCTCTACTTCAGAAGAGCCAGCACCAGTGTTTCAGAAATCCTTTTATTTATAAATCATGTAAAACAATTACAAATTAAAACAGTGAAAAAACTTTTAAAAGTTGTTAAAAACCTGTTAATGATAGAACAGTGTGCTGCCTTCTCATTGCCATGAAATTAGAAAAGAGCATTCTAGAGTTTGAAGCACTGAGAGTGAACAGGTATACTATAAAAATGGGTGCTGAGGGGCGAGACATGGCAGGACTATTAACAGTAACAGAATCTAGAGAAACCTGGAGAGGAAGTCTCACAAGAAAGGAAAGGTACAAAGCCCCTTCCATGCCCCAGGGAAACCCAGTCAGTCACCCCGGAGCCTCCATGACAGGCCAGATAAGCTTGGGGCACAGCCTCACTCCTGAGGACACTCAGCTAGGAGSTTGGGACCAGGCAGCAACCTCTCAGGGGCCAACTGAGTGTCTCAAGGGCAGTACTTGGCCTCTGTCCCTGCCTGTAGATCAGCCTATCCTGTCATCTCAAGCATGCCTTAGATTTGCAGATGTTGCATGGCTGTGGATCCTAGAAAGCCCCTCCCGTGTGTCCTGCTATTTTAGCACAACTTCAGGCTCTGTGAGATGCAGGGAAGGAGGTGGGAGAGAATGCAATATCACAAGGCACAGATGGGTGGCAAGACACTACAGAGAAAATGACTGAAGCCACAGGGATCTGTTCACTCCCTTCTCAATAGTAAAAGTAAATATTGTGACGACATCACAGTGGCTGAACTGATGCACTCAATACAAACTTTCTAACTCCAGAAAGACTAAAGGGTTCTCAGAAATGACATGCACTTTTTTTTTTTCCCATAGAATGAAGAAACTATTTTGGACCCACTGGACCAACTCATGGCCGGAAAGGCAGCAGAGTGGGTGGGAGGCTGAGTTCTCCGAGCTGCCATCAGGATCCCTGCAAGCCAAGTGTATGTGTGGAGTGACTGACTGCCAGYTCCCCTACGGGCTCCAGGCCTGGCTACAGACCCTTAGTCCTGGGAGAAGGGGAACAGAGGCACCAGAGTCAAGGCGCTTACCTACATGCAAAGAGGAGAAAAGACAGCGTTTTCATACAGGGTTGCTTTATTTCCACATTCAACCTGCTGAGAGAACCTGCCACACCTGCACCACGGAGTCCACGGCCATGGCACCTCTGAGCTAGGTGGGACATAGGCAGTATGCTGTCCCCCTGCCAGTCACCAGGACGCACCCAACACTGGCCCACGTAGAGAATAGTGAGTCCTTGAACTAAAACCCAGCTCAGCAGCAGGTGGAACCCCTGGAACACCACCGCAGGAGGAGAGGAGACGACAGGAGCACTGCTGCGAGTCTTGGTTGACAAATCCAGATGAGAAAAACCAAAGCAGTGCCTCGAAACCTCCCCACTGTGCACACCAGGGGTTTAAAGGCACAAAAAAGTGTCAGGATGGAAGAATCCCAGGTGCGTTCACAGCCCAGAGTGAGAGAGAGCACAGGTGCAGATTCAGAGTTGTGCAGGCTTTCTGCAAAAGGGTGGTCTCCGCTTCAGGGCACGATGTGGTGATGCTGCAACAAAGGGACAGGTGAACCACAGGAGGTGCCGCTGCCCTCCCGGCCGAGCAGGCCCCTTGGTAGCTCCCAGCGCAAACACCATCCTTTGAGTCCACGGCCCACTGCAGGTAGCCACAAAGCACCCAAGCACAAAGGAACTGTGTGGCTTAGTACTCCTGCCCCTAGACAGCCATGAAGTGAGGACAAGAGACAGCCACTAAGCAGTTCTGTCTCAGAAGTGACAATGACTGACATAGGGAGTCACAGCTGCTGTGCCCAACTCTTCTTCCTGTGGGCACCCTGAGGCTGTTCACTAGCAAAGCCCTCCAGAGATGGTCAGGCTGGACTTCTGTCTCTTCCCATCAATCTCATTCATAATCCAAGGTGTCTCATGACATCTTCTCCAACTGACAGGTGTTCTGTCAGGTCCCTAGAGCAGCTCTGAACTTGCTCTTCACATTCCACACACACAGTCTTGGCTGACCCTGAGGCCCACTCCACCCACCTTCCACACAACATTTTCTAACATGGGGCAACAAAACAGCAAGGACAGTCTTACCACACAGTGCTCAGGTCACTCCTGGTTCCCAAGAGGAATCACCTCCTCAGTGACAAAGAACTCAATGGTCTCCTCTTCCCAGTCATCCACGTTGCTGTCCAGCTCGTCAGTGTCCACCCCTGAGAGGACAAAGTGTGCTGACCCTTGGAYCATAGATGCTCACCGGCAGCTGCGGAAGCTACAGCCACAGCCTGGCGTAGGAGAGAGGCACTGCACTAAGGAGTCGCACCACCCATGGGCTGGGAAGCCCTCTCCACTGCTGGACACCCTCAGAACCTTTGTTACCTCCTCTCAGTTCTAGACGTTCATTTTTCTGCTTCATGTAGAGTTCTTGGGCCGTTTTTCGGTATTTCCGGAAATCTTCCATCATGGTTCTCCTCCTCTCCACCAATTCCTAAGTACAGGTAAGTGGAAAGTCACAGAATTAACAGAACTCATCTTCATGTGCTTTTGTTTAACCTAAGTGAAAGCTCTCTGCCACAAGCAGCCTGCATCCTACTGAGCGATGTACCCACCACTCTATTTACACAGAACTCTTTCCGCAAGGAATATGTCAGTTCTCAGTGTTCTTCCTGTCCCTCTCCCCGACCCTATATTTGAAAAAGCAGCCAGCAATAGGGTCAAGGTGGACACCAAACCCAATGCTGCTAGCCTATCCCCTTGCCTTGCCCCAGAACAGGTCAATGGTCCGGGGGAGGAGCAGCGCCCCCATCTGTCCCATGGAGACCAGTAGCACACCCTCCCCTACACCCACACTGGTTCTCCAGTGCCATGGCAGCTTTGGCATTCCCCTCAGTTTTCAGAGTGAGGCTTACCTTTGATGCTTTCGACTGGCTCAAACGGTCCTTCTGTTCAAAGATCTTGGAGTATTTTTTCAGATCCTTTTTAATTTGCTGAAACAAAAACAATTCACTCAGGGTTTAACATTTAAAGCAAGAACCACAAACGTAGCCTTCAAATTTGCCAACATGAAACAACGCTCAGCGATTTTACAGCGAGTCACCTGGGGCAATGAGGAACACCATGGTTTCCCTTTTACTTCATTCTGAGTGACTTTTTCCTGGGATTTCTATTCTCTTTAGTGTTGGTCTAATACCACTGACCTAYGTAACAATTATGTAAATCCCAGATGTGTTTCTCCTAATCCCACACAGATTGTTAACAGCTCCTAGCATTTCTGTTCACCCCTTCCAGTTAATGCGGAATTTCCTTAAACAACCCGAAAATTTATGTTGAGAATCCTGAAACTATTCTTTTCCATTTAGTCCCYACTGTTCTTAAATCTCTTCAAAGGCCTGTCCAGAAATATCCTGTTTCTACCCTCCACCACCACCTCCACAATCATGGGGAAAAAACAGGGCCACACTGCTTCCACTGAAGTTCAAGAGACCCCACACCTTTATCTGTTCCTGGCTGAGAAGTGTGGGGGGCCGTGGTCTCCACAGCAGCTGGCAGAAGCGATCTTTATTATTCTTCTGCAGAAGGCGTCCTTGGAATGTCCACAGCCAGTAAGCGTTGTCCACCTACAACACAGTGTGTGCTGTGAGTCACTGCTCCAGCAGGGAGACAAAAGACCCTGGAACCTTCACTGCACATAATAGCAACCTTGGCAGCTGCACAATGACATTCTGGGTATCTGAGATCCAATAGGGAAAAAAACAAGAGCCCCTC